AGAGAGAGAGAGAGAGAGAGAGAGAGAGAGAGAGAGAGCGAGAGAGAGAGAGGAGAGTGAGAGAGAGAGAGTGAGAGAGAGAGAGTGTGTAACTAATGCAGCGAGCGCTGTGGCCGGTGAAGAAGAATAGAGCGAGAGCCGCGTGTGCGGTCACACAGGGGCTGACGGCGGCAATACACGTACACCTACCTATACACGCACCGTGTAGCGTCGCCCTGCCAGCCTCCTCAGGCGAACAGATTATAGATTACAGCCTTTCGCTGCTGCTTCACACACACGCGCGCAGCACTGCATGTAGCATATACGTGGCAATGCGCGCAGACACACGCGCGCGCGGGTGAACATACGTACATGCATGCACACGCGCATGCATAGCACTGTAGTACGATCGTTATCAAAGTACGATCAAAGTGGAAGAGGAGATAGGGAAGTGAGTGAGAGAGATCTGATGAAGAGAGAGAAAGCGAAAGAAAAAGAGGAAGCGAGAGACAGAGAAAGAAAGAAACAGAGAGAGAGAGAGAGACGAAAAACGAGAAAAAAAGAAATCGAAGTGCGTGTGTATACGTGCGCGCGCGTGTGTGTGTGAGCGAGCGAACGAGAGAGAGAGAGAGAGAGAGAGAGAGAGAGAAGAGGAGACCAGCCGATGACCTGTAGGTCGTTCTACATTAAGTCACGCCATTCCCACGAACGCTTCACTGCGCCAGCGAAGAGAGAAAATACATCTGTCCAACCAAACAAAAAGTCGTAATTGAATAAATATTATAGCAGCAATTTGTGCAGATCGCCTTCGCAAACTCAAGACGTGCGCACTCTATCTGTCTCGGTTCCCTCCCTTACCCGTCTCCTTCATGCTTTGTCTCACCTTTCCCTCTCTCTCTCTCTCTCTCTCACTTTCTCTCCATCTCTCTTCCCCTATCTCCCAATCTCGCTCCCGCTCTCCCTCCCTCCCTGTCCTCTCTCTCTCTCGTCCCGCTCTCCCTACCTCCATCCTCCCTCACCCCTCACTCTCCCCACTCTCTCTCTCTCCTCTACCCCGCTCTCTCTCTCTCTCTCTCCTCTACCCCGCTCTCTCTCTCTCTCTCTCTCTCTCTCTCTCTCTTGTCCCGCAGACGCGTTCCCACGTTCCAAATGGGCCGTAAGCGAGACGAACTCACGCACGCGCGCGCTAACACACACACACACACAGTGCCGACATTATTATCGCCTGCTCACCGTACGTACACGTAATGACGTAGCAGGCGTGCGGCGGCCCCGGCAGACGCACGCGCGCGCCGCTCTCATGTCAAATTAAAAGACGATCGGCAATGTTTTGCGCGCAGCGCCACACTGCGGCTCGATTCTCGCACGTGAGCGGCATGCGGCGATGTGATGACACGAGGAGTGTGATAATATATACTATGTCTATAAATTATCTATCTATCTATCTATCTATCTATCTATCTATCTATCTATCTATCTATCTATCTATCTATCTATCTATATATGTATATATATATCTGAGAGCCCATCGGTGAAGTGCACAACAAACGTCATCGTCGACAACGACGGACTACTATCATATTATATATATATATATATAATATATATATATATACGTCTATAATCTATATTATGACACTCCTGATGACATACGCGGTGTGTAAACATTTGTGAGTGACGGTAAAAAAGTACGTATAAACAAGAGCTAAAAATATATACCTAGCTAATAGGTATGATTAGCTCCTGATATAAAATTTAAACTTGGATATGAAATATAAAATTGCGTTTACGCCAACACATTTATGTTTACCCCAACCCGTTACCTCACCCCGTCTATTTCCTTCGTATGTATTAAGCACATCTCACGTGAACCGCGTAGACTACGTATACCAGAGATCGTTCTAATTAAGAACCGCGGCTAGCGTGTAGTGTCATGGCAGACTAACGGTGTTAATGATATGTATGTAGGTGCAGTGCTCAGCTCGCGGAAGGAGTTATAGCTATATACAGTCTCGCTTCCGCGTGGGGAAGGACACGCGGCCGCACCTAATCATGTTACTGTAACCGATAATTTGGAGCCTTACTTAAAACGAACCCGATCGTAACGAAATCGTACTAAAATGTTTTAGTTTTAAATGTCAATCGCAGAACGGCGGTCGGTTTGCTCGACAGCAGAACACGTTATATCTTAAGTGACGGCATGCGATAAGATCGTGCGACATGTAACGTCTGATGTTTTTGTTAAATAAACCCTTATATATAAACAAGACAAGGCGTTAGGTCTCATTGCATGACGTCACATAAAATATAACGTATAATATTATATATTTATAATATATGTACCAACGTTGGTCGCTGTGCAATCGTGGTCGGCGTTCCTGTGTATTAATCTCGTCGTTCCTCCTTTCTTTTTCTGCAGACGTCGCGACACTCCAAGCTGGAAAAAGCCGACATTCTGGAGATGACCGTCAAATACCTGCAGACGCTGCAGCGCCAGCAGATGGCAGCAGCGGCGTCCGACGACCCGTCCGTGCTGGGCCGCTATCGGGCCGGATTCAGCGAGTGCACGCAGGAGGTGACGAGGTACGTCAACAATGTCAACGGCATTGACAACTCCGTCAAGCTTCGACTGCTCGACCACCTGGCGCGCAGCATGACGCAGCGGCCCGACGCAACCGCTGCAGCTGCCGCGCAGACGCAACACGCCAACATACTGCCGGCGACCGCCGCGCCACCTGCCTTCACCGTCGCGACGACGGCCGCCGGAGATGCGACCGGAAACGCGATTGCGCAGGCCGTGCAGTCGATCCGCGGCGGCGTCGGCGGCGGATACGTGTTTCCGGCTGACTTTCCGGCGGGCGCGCTTGCCGTGCAGCCGTTGCCAGGCAACGGAGCGCCGCACGTCGTGGCGCCGGCCGACGTCAACAACAATAACGTCGGCGGCGGCGGCGGCGCTGCAGGAGCGCGGATTTTCGGAGGGCTGCAGGTGATACCCGGTCGTCTGCCGAGCGGGGAGCTGGCGTTCGTGTTGCCAGGCAACGTCGCCGGTCAGCTGGTGCCGCTCTACGCCGGTGCGGCGATGACCCTCAACTCGTTCACGTCGGTGCCGTCAGGTGGCGCCACGCCGCGCGAGCTCAGCTTGCAGTACACGTCGCCGGTGACGTCGCCGAACAACACGTGCGCTGCGTCGCCCAGCACGTCGTCGTCGTCGTCGTCGTCGTCGTTGTCGTCGTCGTCACGGGCGACGCCGCCGACGTCGCCGACGCTGGCGAACGACAACGGCGACCCCGTGAAGACGGACGACGACGTGTGGCGACCGTGGTAGTGACGTCACGCGTGACGTCGGCCTAACTATTGCAATATAAATGCCTTTTTTCATAATTACGTAGCGGTACTATAGTAATGGGCGGGGTATCATCATAGAGAGAGGGAGAGACAGAACGAGAGAGAGAGGAGGGAGCGAGAGAGAGAAAGAAAAAGAGACGGAGATCGATAGATGAGTGAGAGAGAGAGAAAGAGACGGAGAGCGACAGAGTGTGTGTGAGTGAGAAAGAGCGCGCGCGCGAGAAAGAGAAAGAGAGAGAGAGAGAGAGCGCCCGCGAGAGAGAGATCTATACAGAGAACGACTGTTGCACGTTATTGACACCTCATGCCGTTATCACGACAGTATCAATGTATGTATCCGACTCCTGGCTACTTAGCGAAGGATCGCGCAGGCTAATTCAAAACAGATCATCATAATAATTTTAAGGTTACTGTCCGTCCTAGGATGTCAAGGATTTAGTAGGTCTTCCGTATTAAAGTTTTCTCTTTCACAACGAGTGGTAAAGCTGTTTTGACTACTACGAGTTGAAGTGCAGAAGTACTGTTTCCTACTTGTTTCGGTTGCTCGTTTCTATGCATATACAGCTGTATATAGCATCACAGACGATTATCATGCCTCGGCCAAATGTACATAACTGTTTATATCTCATGAATGTTGATGATTTTCCATAATTCACAATGACATTTTCTCGACACGTTGTGATATGCACGTAGTTTGCGATCGAATAGAATGTTGTGATATCATTATTATATATTCTCGTATTTTTTATCGCCGATTGTGTGAATAAATATATATATTCTTCTTGAAAAAATTCTCTTCGTGAGTTTTAATGTGTTAAAACTATTCGTGGGATTATTTCCCCCAGTTTTACGCGTATACATTATTATTATATCAGGTGAACATGAATTGAAATTCGCTATTCTTTCTTTATGTACTCTTGAGTATATGTCCATAACCTTATCCCCCAGATGCAAACACTATACGGTATTAAAATTTACGTTCTGTTAAAAACGCTGACTATGAAATAACAAGGGAAACGTTCACCTTTGCCCACTTGGAACTTTACCCTACGTATTGCTGAACGACGCGTTTAAAACTGTCAGTGTTACCTATAGATAGGTACCGCATCGTGTGACTCATGCATCCAAAATTCATTGCAATGTAACCGATATAACAGTGTAGTGCTAACAATCTGTGGATTCCGAAACCGACTGAGGGAAGGGGAACACCGGTCAAAAACGCAATTTGTCTAGTTTTTACTTTAAGTTTAGTATCTTTAAACGTTATACGAAAATTGTAATGTAACCGTGCAAGCAGTCAGCTTACACACCATCACGTGCGTTATACGCTTGAAACCCATATATCATGGGCGAAAACGCATTTCACGTACTTTTACTTTACGTTCAGCATTTTTAAATAGCATAGAGAAATCGCAAACCAACTGACAGTGCAAGTAGGCAGCTTAACCCCAACATGTTATACGCTTGAAACCAAAATACCGCGCGCAAAAACATACATTTTACGTGTTTTTACTTTACGTTCAGCATTTTTAAATAGCATAGAGAAATCGCAAACCAACTGACAGTGCAAGTAGGCAGCTTAATGTTTCTCTACTCTATTTCGCCTATTATTGCCGATAACTTCCTGTAAATGCCGTTCAATTGCTTCTCTGCAACACACAAGTACACCGCACGCACGCCACTGTGCACAAAAAACAAGAAAGCATTTGAACGGCATTTACAGGAAGTTATCGGCAATAACAGGCGAAATAGAGTAGAAAAATATTACGACGTTGGTAGTAAATACATTTCGTGTTTATTTACCATTATTTTTTTATTGAGACGTTCCGAGTGCCTGTGGACGGAGGTAGGTGTGGTGTGGTGGAAGAGGGAGTATGGGGTTAAGTTGGAGTTTAGTGGGGTGGGGTGGGTGGTAAGGTGCGGTGAAAGGGTAGTGGTGGGGCGAAAAGAGCAGGTGTGTTATGTGGGAGATGGGGAAAGGGGCAGGGGTGTGATAGGGGAGATATGGGTAGCGGTGGGATGCGATGGAGGGGGATGGGGATAGGTGTGGGGTGCGATGAGGTGTGGATTCGTGGGAGGGAGTATGAGCGGGGGTGGTGGAGGTGGGGTAAAAAGGGCGGATGTGTGATGTGATGGGGGTAGAACTTGGGTGCGAGCTAGGGCAGGGGCGGGTTGTTAGAGGTGGGGCTGGAGGAGGGGTATAATAATTACTAACTGAGAGTGCTCTCTGTCGGCCATGCATCCACACGACAACCCACGATGTCGCAGGCCAGGTTAGCTATAGCTACACACACGGCTGCACATGAATGAAGGCGGATGCTCTCTCAAAACAACGAGTGGCCAAATCACTAAACAATGAGAGTGAGTGTGCGGGATGTAGAAGGGGAAACGGGGGAGGTGACAGAGAGAGGAAGGGATGGCGAGAGAGCGAGAGATAGAGAGAGAGAGAGAGAAGGGGAGAGAGAGAAAGAGAGAGAGACAGAGATGGAAGAGAGCGGGGGAATTGAACAATAGAGAGTGAGGTAGAAAAGATGAGAAGGAGAAAGAGAGAAACAGAGAGAAAAAAAGAGAGAAAAAAAAGAAAGAATATATATATATATTTATATATATATATATATATATATATATATAAACAAACAGAGTGTGTGAGAGTGAGATAGAAAAAAGAATTGAGAGGGGCAGGAAGGGTATGAAAACAAAACGCACAGAGGTAGAAACAAAGGAGAGGAGGGGGGGGTGTAACACGAGGTCCACCTCAAGCGTGCCACCACCCCGTCTTCACTACCGTAGAGCCGTAGAGCGAGAACTACTAGCCACTTCACTCGACTTATTTAACACCTGCACGACGAGCGCCCCGAGTATATATACGATCTAGCGGATTGTCGCCCCGAGTGGTCAGCAGACCGACTACCGTCTGTCCGTCTGTCTCCCTCCGCTGGATGTTTGCTCTTCATGTCGGCTCGCCGACTTAACAAGTGACCGGCACCGGACTTGTCGGACTTGCCGGACAATGGCATTAAGCGTGAGCGGCGGGAGAATATCACGATGTCGATACGAGCGGGTCAACATTGTCCGCTAGCCGCCCCGTCTTTGATGTTAGGATAGCGTGTACTCTACTGGGTGAGAGCGAGAGAGAGAGAGGAAGAGGGACGGAGAGCGGGAGAGGGGGAGGGAACGAGGCAGAGAAGAGCGAGAGGGGAAAGAAAGAGATAAAGAGAGCAAGAGACAGGGGGACAGAGAGGGAACAGATAGAAATCAAAAGATAGAGAGAGAAAGAGAGATGGAGAAGAGAGAGTGAGAGAGAGAGAAGGAAGGGACAGATAGGGGACAGACAGAAATCGAAATAGAATAGGGAAAGCGCGCGCAAGAAAGCGAAAGAAACAGAGACAGAAAGCGTGAGACCGAGATAGAAAGAAGGAGAGAGAGAAAGCNAGAGAGAGAGAGAGAGAGAGAGAGAGAGAGAGAGGGGGAGAGAGAGTGAGAGAGAGAAGTGAGGTGAGAGAGAATGAACCAAGGACTCCCCTAGCCTAGGATTGATTTATATTTACACGGAGGAAGGCAAACCCTTGTCGATTGTCCGGCAAAGTGTTCTCTCAATTGACGGCGGAATTTAACGGTAGCTTATCGCCCGCCGTTAGTCTTACACTCGGTGAATGGAGACTGTGTATATACACACACATACATTCATACACATATATATACACACATACACATACACACACACACACACACACACACACACACACACGCACGCACGCACGCACGCACGCACGACGCACACACACACACACACACACACACACACACACACACACACACACGACACGCACGACACGCACGAC